ACGTTCAAGCAGAAATATACCGGATTAATGCATTTAGCACGTACATCACCTCACACGATGTCTTAAATTGAGACACAAAACTAGATCCATGATTGGTTGCCTCAAGTTCGACATGTTAAAATTGAAAGACTGACAGCTGTTATCGTTTAACGATGATGATTGAAACTAGCTCCATGATTGGTTGTCTGAAAGACGACCCTATTAAAATTCAAAGACTAGCAGATGACAGCGGTTAACGGGGATACCTGAAACTAACTCCATGAATGGTTGTCCCATAGATATGGATTAGAGGAGATAGGAAATGTCATTTTCATCAGGCTCGTAGAATTGAAGGTGGCCATCTTTTACAAAGAATAGACTCGCACGCTTGCGCATTGATTGCGTATTGAAGTGCACAGGATAGGATTGACACATTTAAACACAAATCGAAAATATTAAGGATTCAATTACACAATAGAACTAATAAACTTAAAAATTCGTAATAGAATTTTCTTATACACTAATCCAAGGCCGTAATATATTTTATAGCAAATAAATCTGGAATCACGTGATTTAAACAGAACTTTAATATTAAAAAATATATATTTTGTATCTAAATTATTACATGGGAATATCGATTCTCCGATATTGAAAGTATTTTATTTCATATAGAAACTATAAATTTAAGGAATTCGAATGTATTTGAAATATTGTTCCACAGTACTATGGCATGCAGTTGAGTGTACATTAAGAATCCATAATCAAAATAATTTAGAGATTATGGGCATACCCTTTAGTAAATTTAAAACTACTATGAGAAACGTCTACTCAATTTTTTTATTAAAAAAGAAATATAATTCCAAACATAAATGAGAACGAAACGTATAATAAATAAGAACAAGAAATTCTCTAAGCATGTGTTACAAAATAAAATGAGCGACCTCGGAAAACAACTGCTCCTTTGGCTGATTCCGCAACAGACACAGAATTATATCCAGAGAAAAACAACAAAAATACAAATTTAATATTTCAACATTCAAATTTTGATCTTGCTTACTAAGGAGAATGTTATTCTTGGACAGATTTTGTTCTTATTAGGACTCATCAGCAAGAAATAGACATTCTAGATTCCGGTTACTAAAAGAATCTGCAAAGGCGGTAAATTAACCAGCTTACATGGACGGAGGTTGTGAGAGAATAAGAAGAAATAAAGCTTTGATTTTGCCAAGTGCAGAAGGTGTTACCTTGTATAATTATAATAGTACAGTAAATATGTTAACGTCTTGTTATTAAACTTGAAACATTTATATTGTATTAGAAAACGGTACTAATAAATTTTAATTAAAAAAAGCTATTTAATAAAAGTTAATAAGGAACAAAAAAATACAAATTTAGTTTTTTAAATTTCCATTGGTGTTTGAACCATAACATATTTACTAAGGTTTTTATTAATCTTGATATGTGATTTCTCCAAGGTTAGATACTTATAATTGTGATTATTGATTTCTCGAAGCAAATTTTTATTTTAAAATAAATAAAAATGTAAATTGCGATTAAAAATACATTTTTACAGATAAATCGACATTTTTTTACACTCTTATCTAGTACTTAACTGTTAAATTATCCCATTTTTCCTAACAAATAATTTTCATTAGCTGTTGCGCTAGGTAGTGAATCCTGGTAAGTAGGACATTTTATCTTTTTTTTTTCAACATAAGAAACAATGTTTCTTGAAATATCTAACAATTACATTGTATAATTTTTTACAACATACAATAATTTAATTTTAACGTCCTGACTCCAGGAAAACGGCATAGAATACAATGCTATTGAATAGAGAGAAATAGAATAATACGAATATCCAATGCTTGCCGTCGAAAGGGTGTGGTTAAATAAGTTACTATCTTTATCGCTCTCACATCCAAATACAATATTAAGCGTCTTATTTTTATTTTGCCTAATGCGTCGGCTTAACATACTGTATATTTTTTGATAATGTGAACATCACTATATTCCAATGGTACTGTTGTACTTTTTAGTGTAATTTGTAAAATGTTGATGGGGATCCTGCAAAATACAAGTCAATACAGTCAGATTTTTTGCATTGACGTCGCACGATCTTACCCATATCATCACATCTTTCGTTCCGTAACAAACATATTTCGTGTACTAATATAGTAAATAAATAAATAAAATGTTAATAAATTCTGGGACACGCTATATATTAGTTATATTTGCGCCGTTCTATAATTTTCCGTTCCCACTTATCGATTATTCTCCTGAAAATACTCGTGTGAGGTCTGCGAGTCTAGGTATAAAGGCGGGCATATACGGTCATTCTTCTTCAAGAATTAACAAAATAACCCATGCAAGGTCAACAAATCAATGACTTCAACAAAATTACGCGCAAAAAATCTACCCAGTCTGTGAGCCAATTTAATTTGAAATTATTTATATGTCTCAACTAGACATTGTTTTTTTACATCTGGATAAAATTAATGTTCAATATTAATTTCAACACCTTTATAGGTCTAGCAGAGATAACAGTTGTCTACAGATAAAAATTCAAATTTATGTTTCGTTTATATCAATTTTTTTGTATATTCATGCTTAGATTTTTTAATTGTATTATAGAGAACACGATTTTCCTTTTATAGTTTAGTTTTTGCCTTTGGTAGATTTAAAAATAATGGGAGGACCTGTCAAATATCGTGGTGTAACAAACTCAAAAATATGTTTATTTAAAAAATTACAAAACAAGTAAATATTATTAAAATATATATATTTTAGCCTACGTTTGGCCTAATATAATCATTCCAAAACCTCAGAAATGCCTAATATATTTTCAACGAAATAACTGATAAGTACAAAATTGATAACGCTATTCAAATAAGGTTTTCACAAATCAGAATTATGCAAAATTTAACTTTGCATAATTTCAGTTTCCCCGTAAAAACGTAATAGACAGACGGTATTTAAATTATAAATAGTGAAAGATCACGTTCATGAGGTCAATGAATTTTTAAGACAGGTAATTACTCTTCAGCCAACGAAATTAAGCAATTTGACACAACCGATATATAAATATGATATCTACGCCCATTTTGTACAGTTATTAAATTTCCATTGTTAATAGCATTGTGTATTGTGATACAAAAAAAATAGGTACAACACGTGTAGCAAACAAGCAAACAATAAACTTTTTTTAATCATTAGTTCTGGCCAATTGATCTGAGATCAAGACCATTAAATAGACTTCACAAAAAATAAGAATCACTTCTAAAAGATAGTCAAAGACACATCGATTAAGGACTGAATTTACTAAAATCCGGTCCATTTTTCTATGATCCTTTACCATCAAATAATATAAAAACAAATAATTATAAAAAATATCAAACATGCACTTTTTTTTAAATAATCGTTAATCAGTTAATATCTGAACTATGTTTACATATTATTATTTATAAAAAGCGAAATGTGCAGAGTATGACTATGAGATCCTTGTGGTACTCCTGAGTGAACTGTGATCTTATAAAATACAGAGTTATACAGAATGGCCTTTATCAGAAACTTCGCCAACATTTTAGACTTTTACAAACGCTCTAGGGAATACGAATTGAATAAACTTGTTTTTTTATAAATTAATTTGTGATTTTGAGTTAGACATTGAGAAATTTAGAGTAAATTGGCTCGAAAGACCATGAAGAAACGCGCGTTTAACCAGGAATAGCAAAAAACTTCTTTTAAGATTAAATAAATAGAGTTTTTCTGAGTTACGAAAATAAGAACTTTTCAAATACGGCAGCAAGTATTGTCAAAAAGACAAGTCTTAAAAGAAAAGCAAATTAGATGAATATCCTAATGATTATCGTTATGCTCCTTATCGAAATCGGTCTAGACCTGAAATATATTTACATGTTATCATTTATAAAAAGCAGAGGATGACTATGAGAATCTTGTGGGACTCCAAAGTGAACTGATAACTTTAAGATAGAACTATGAAGACTAGTCTTCATAGATATAGAACATTAAATTTTTTTAACTCAATATTCTTACGCCAAATCAGGATTCATAAACTGATAGATGTATGCAATGAGAATGAGCGACGTCGTTTACTTGGCATACATTTAAAATGCTAATGCTGTAGCTTATTATTTTATGAATGTGAACGCATAAAAGTGTAATGGAATGTTTCATATTTTACCGTACAATAATTAATTATACTGTTAGTTTTTTCCGTTCTACTAAAAAGGAGGAAATTATCAATTTTGGAATTATTTTTAATTGCCAACAAGGTTTTTTAGAAGTAATCAGACTAACCAGCTTTTAAATTACGAGGTATTTTTCATAACATTCTGTTTTATCAATAAAATGATATATTCTATCTGGTTCTACAAGATAAACATTAACTTATTCGAGAAAAATTCTATGATGATTTCTTGGGAAGAGTAACTAAATAAATCTGTGATTTTGTGAAATATACCTTGTGATTTTGAGTTAAAATTGAAACTGAATCGGCTCGAAGGACCATGAAGAAACGTGTCTCACAAGTTTAACCATGAATAACAAATAATTTCTTCTAAGATTAAGTAACTAGAGTTTATCTGAGTTACGAAAATAAGAACTTTTAATGCAAGTATTGTCAAGAAGATAAGTCTTAAGAGAAAAGCAAATTAGATGAATATTCTGATGGTTGACAACGAATATTTTTTATTTAATTTGAAACTACAATTGTCACACAAAAGTTCAAAAACAAGAGTCTCAAATTTTTAACAACTGTTCCTGGGATAAGAAATTGTTATACATAAAAATGTTAATATGTATACAAACATTTGTCCATATATTTTTATCAAAGCTTGTGCGTTCGTTATTTATTTTAACTAATCAATATTTGATTATAAATGCACACAAAAATCTATTTTTGTCTATTCGTAACAAATCCAAAGGATTCCGAAACAATACCCTAATATTTATTTTAAAAATCGAAAATATTTATTTAATTTTCTTTATTTTTGTTACAGATTTAAATACCAAGTCAAACATAATCGCGGCGTTGAGTAAAGGAGACAGTGTCAGTCAAGATGGTAAGTGATTTGCTTTTTTGCTTTAAATAATTCTCTATCGTAATATTATTTAATTAATTAAGTCAAATTTTCATAGTAGTAGTTCACTTTTAAAATAATTTAATGCCATGTTCGTTTTTGTGTCGCCTAAGATCCATTATACCGAGTGGTCAACAGTGGCGTATCTAGAGTTTTAAGTCTGGGGTAGTGGTAATATTTAAGATTTTATTTGTGATAATTAAAGACCGGACAATTTAATTTATTCTTATCAGCGAAGTAACGGTAAGAGCGGACCTTCGATTTGAATAATACATTCTGAATAAAACAAGTTATTTACTGAACTGGTCGACACAGTAGATAAGATATTGGATTTTTATCGCCCGGGCGTAACATTTGGGGCGGGCTTATTATTACATTTACATTGCAATAATTATTTTATTAAATTTTAGTTCAAATTTGGTTGGATATTATTATATAATTACAAATGATATTATTATTTATTTTTTTATTGTGTTGTGGGATAATGTTGTTGGCTTTTTCTGTTAATATATTATTGACTAATAAATATATCAACGAGGATACACCATCATTAGTTTTATGTTTAGAGTGTTCCAATATACACTCTTTATCCTAAAGTAGCAAATATACAATTATATACAATATATACAATACAAATTAATATCAATCTTCTTCATTTGAAAAATATGTTTGTATGACAGCATATTTTTCTAAATTGTCTTCAGTGAAATTACTTCTTTTAGAAGTCAATAAATCTTTAAACCTAGAAAACGATCGTTCTACGTCACAACTCGTTACAGGAGCAAATGAAAAATGTGGAACAAAATCACAATATTTTAAAGCAGTTTCATAATCGTTAAAATTGTTCAGGGAGATTTGTTTCAGAGTCTGTAAATTTGGATTTCTTTTAATAACACAATCTATTTTATGGTTAAATTTATCTTGTAAGGGCCACTTTACGTTTTTTAAGTGTAACAATGTCGATTCAAATTTTTCCATAGCAACCGATAATTGTAAGTTACGGGTTTCAAGGAATTTTATAGTTTCTGGGAGACACGAAAAATAAGTCGCAAGAAAATTTAACTCCGACTGCAAAGTTGTTTTTGTTATTAAACCTTTACACTGAGTGATAGAGAGAGCGTCCTCTGATAAGTTGGAAATAAATACTTTTAGTCTGTCGAAATGCTCCGAAAAAAAGAACACAGCCTGTAACCAAGTTCCCCATCGTGTAATAACTGGTTGTGGAGGTAGGGGGATATTCGGACATATTTCTTTATATAAAGAAACTCGGGACGGTGCTTTTAACAAAAATTTTTTAAAACAGCTAATCAACGAATTAATGTCTGGAAAGCTGTCACGGATAAACTCACAAACTCGGTGTAACGCGTGAGCAAGGCAAGTTACATGCAGCATGTTTGGAAAATGTTCTTGTAATAGTTTCCCTATTTTCAACATTACACTTGCCGCGTCTGAAATAAACAATAAAACTTTTGAAACGTCATTATCAATTACATTGTTCAATCCACGTTTCACTATTTCATAAATCATTTCAGCGTTCACAGTTTCACGAAACACACTAGAAACTAAATACTGTTGTGAAGTATTTTCAGCACTTAATAATCCTACAACAACATTAACAACACATCTACCCTTTATGTCAGTCGTTTCATCTGCACTAACCCAAATATATTTGCTGGAAATTTTCGTTTTTATTGCCGTCATTGCTTTATCGTACTGATTTTGAATATAATGTTTTCTAATTGTGGATTCATCCGGTATTTTACGTTTAGTATATTTACAAAGAAAATTTTTGAAAATTGTATTATTTAATTTTGTTAATGGAATATTTGCAGAAACAAATGCGTTGCATAAATCTTCATAAAAGATTTTGTCTGGACATCCCTCTAAAGATTGCATGTGTTTTTGTGTTTTCACATGTTGTGTCATACTTGACTTTCCATTAAAAACTAACACCTGATCACAATTGCGGCAGTATAATTTGTTGTCATTAAAACGACGAAAACAATCAAAGTCCGATAATAAATTTTCCATATTTACGTTTCCAGTTTCTATCACTTTTCCCTTTGAACTAAACAAATATACTCATTGGAAAAATCTAGTGATATTTTTACAAGACACTTTCTTCTCAAATCTCCTGTTTATCGACTCTTTGTTATCTTTTTACATTTTTTCAACCAACAGATACCTATATAGAGTGAGCAATTGAATTAATACATACATTACAGAAATTTAACAGACATTTATTTTATTGTCTCATCGTGTATAAGTACCATAATATCCACAGGAAATAAAAACATAAATGTTTTGTTACAAAAAATCGGTATGTACGGTATCGATAAAAGCCAAAATATTCATAAATATAATATAAGGATTGACTTTATTTGAATAAAAATATCACCGGCAACTAACCGACAATGGATCGAGAAAGTATAAGACAACATATGATGGGCCTATTTGACATTCATTTTAGGCCCTCTCTACAGCGTCTTAGTCCAAACGCTCGTAGAGTCCTAATATTTGGCCCCGATGCAATTTCTCCAACAATGAATCGGGACCAGCTAAGGCTAGAAATTTCCAATTTTCTGGAGGAAATAACAAATTCGGGGGAGGCAGCTGGGGTCCTCGATCCTCATTTTAGGCAGGAGAGTAGTGTACCACGCCAAAATATTGAGGAATAGATATTTTGTAATTATATAAGAGATAATAATAAAAAAAATATCATACAGAATATCGTTTACATTACTACACCTTAAACTCGCTTATGAAAAGTTTAACATCTTCATCAAAAAAGTTATTTTTTTTTAAGGAAAATTTCTCAGGCCACAAATTAAAGGATCTGAGGTTACTAAAAACTTTTGTAAAATATCCTACATATCCTCGGCGTTGGTGAGAAGAAAACATTAAATTTGTTTAATGAAAATGATTCAAAAGACAAAGAATATAGGTACACGATAAAAAAAAATCTCACTTTTTTGTATTAGTTTTAATGTCTATGTATATATCAGTACACTTTTTTTATCTTGTTTTAATAAAAAAAAGAGGTTTGTCCTGATAGTATTAGAATCTGCCGCACTGTCTGCCGTCTTAAATAGCGAACCCAGAATGAGACGCCTATGTGATTAAAACCAATTATTTGAACGCGATTAAAATGTCCGGTCTTTAGTGATAATAATACATTTTTATTATCTGTAAAAAGTTACGTTTAAAAATAATACCCTTCCCCTCCGTATATACGCTCCTGGTGGTCAATATGATAGGACAACCCCGTAGCATTTATTGAGTTGTCAAACAGTGCGCTCTAGCTGTCACTGTGAAGGTAATACAGACCATTAGAGCTATAGTCTGAATAAAAGAAGAGTGCAGTAAGAGTGGGGATATAACGTCACATTCCATAGGCGGACTTTGCAAAATATGTTTCTATAATATTGTTACGCAGCATCCTGCAGTAGCCTGCGGCTATTATAGGAAACGTACATATAGAAAAAGAAGTGGAATGTTACTCATCGCCCTACAGTATGCTGCGGTCGTCATAAGTAAAAGTACAAGTAAAAGAAGATAGAATAGTCCAGAATTATATGGAAATGTCATTACCCGTCAAGAATATTCTAGATGACAGTTCGAAAAGGTTCGAGAAGGGTTAAGCAAGCTATATAAGGATGATCCTGACGTCAGTTTGGGAGTTTTAGGATAGACGTTATCCGTTAAAGTTATCAGTTGTATAATTATTGTTAAAGTTAAGTTAAAATAAATTGAAATACTAAAAACCTGTGTAACATTGGTGACAGCGGTGGGATACAAAGTAAAAGTTCATGATAAATACTAGATTTACTGAGTACGAAGCAGGCATGGATACTTCAGGCCTACCAGCATGGTTTTTGAAGATGGAAGAGGAAAAGAAAAGGCGAGAAGAGGAGAAGGAATGGCGTAGGAAGGAAGAAGAGGAGGAAAAGGAAAGGCGCGTAGGAAGGAAGAGGAGGAGGAAAAGGAAAGGCGTAGGAAGGAAGAAGAGGAGGAAAAGGAAAAGCAAGAAGAGGAGAAGACGCAGGAGGGATGAAGAAAAAGAGAAGGAAGAGAGGCGTAGAAAAGCTGAGGTTGAAATTATGAACGGTTTGCTACAAATCCAGGAAACCTTCAAGCAAGAGGTTAGTCAGCTTAAAATTAGAGTAGATCTGTTAGAGCAACAAAAAGAGCATCTAAAAGCTAATTTAGAGAAACAGCAAGAGAATTTGAAAGCTAATTTAAAACAAGAAGAACAGACTAGAGTAGAGTCGGAAAGAAAAATTAGAGCTGAAATGGCTGAGTTAGAAAAAAGAATTTACAGCCAAGCTTCAGTAAACAGCATTGAAGCTGCAAACACTACTACCTCGTCTTCATCCATAACCGAACCAAGCCACATTCGAATCCCAGTTTCACAGAACTATACTAGCAAGACCCTTTAGCCACCCACGTTTGATGGTCAGAATCATATCGACATGTAGTCCGCCAAGTGATACTGCCGAGGTCACAGGTGAGAAAAGTATTGGAGGAGCTTCATAGCAGCCGTTCAGGAGGACACTTTGATACTAAGAAGACACTTTGATACTAAGAGGACACTGGCACGAGTTCGGGAAAGATTTTATTGGGTCAATTGCCGACGGGATGTAGCAGATTGGTGTAAAAAATGTGATGTATGCAAAAAACAAAAAACAACAAAATCAAAAAACCAAAAAATACAAAAAACTACAAAAAAATACAAAAAATACAAAAAATACATAAAATACAAAAAAAATTAAAAGATACAAAAAACGAAAAAACACCAAAAAAAATACAAAAAATTAACAATATAAAATCTTCTAACAAAACAGTATTAAATAATTTTCTCATTATTATCACGTATTTAATTAAATGTGCAATAGTTAAAGTAAAAAAAAAACCTGTTTTCATGGGTATTGAAGATAATTTTTAATAAAATCAAAAATAAATCAAAACTATGTATTTCTATATTTCTTGATTTTTTTTTCAGGCAACCAAACCACAGAGTGGTTCGACTGAATTGGAAAGTTTTTTACCACAAGATAACTCTGGTGCAAATGGAGTTACCAAGTAAGTTGTTTTATATATTTCCAAATTAGAAAAGTTTTAATGAAAAATTTTAAATTGCACGAGCATTGATCATTCAAAGAAACAAATAATAATAGTTTTAATCTTATTTAAATATTTATTAATAGGTAGTGGATTACGTAAAAGAAGATTTAATTTTAAATCCGAGATTATATATTTAATCTATGGATATTTATTATCTCTAGATTCGTTAATCCTTTGATTTTGTTTAGTCATTTATTTTGAATTGATGTTTAACTTCAAAAAGTTAACAAAATGAATGTAAGCAATCGTGAAAAGTGCAAGAACTTTACTGAATTTGACAAGATATTTACTAAATATTACCAAACTTTAAACTTATATATGCAAATGTCAATATAATCCATCAAATAATATAACCCAACCATGACATTAGCTTAGATTACAAAATCTAGAGATAATAAATGTCCACGGATAAAATGTATTATCATGGGTTTAATATTTAATCCTTCTTTGATACAACCCACATTAAGAAACTGCAAGTAACTCATCTAACTCATCCAGTGGTTTGTGGTTAGGTTAAATATAAACACATATTCTATCTAATTGAATGTCAAATTGAAATATTTCTGCAAAATGAATAGGTCAGTGGTGATAAATATACATCACGGTGTATGATCAATATAGGTATAATTTTTTTTTCTATTTCAGATACAAAATTGCAACAAATGGAGATGTAGAAACTGCAAATCTAGGAGAATTTGATCCATTTAAATCCAGACAATTACAGCACCCTGTATCGTAAGTAATTTTTAAATTGTGCTTAAATCATAAATCATCTGTCGGTAAAAATTACCTTAATCTTGAGGGTTAATATTCTCTGAGAGCTACGAGTGCTATACAAGAAAATTAATTTTTGTTTTATTATTTTAACATATTTCTCCTATCGTCATTTTAAAACCAGTAGAATCATAAATTTGTTTATTTTGTATTGTAGTCCTAATATTTTATTTTATCATAAATTCATTCAATTTATATTTCACATGTCACCGACTTCTTGGCTGAGATCAAAATGTAAATTATAATTTTTATAGACAGTAATAGGTAATTACTTTCGCTTTTTTTTAAATTCAAACGGTTATATAACATTTCTTATTACCTTTTGAACATGTCTCAAGGATACCTACTTAAAGAGAAATAAAAGTTAATGACAACATTCCTACTACTGTAGCTTGAAGAATTCGATTAAGTATCAATTTTTAGCATTTTTTGTTGTATCCACTAAACAGTCATATGGTGACACATAGCACGAGAAAAAATGTTCTATAGTTTTCGAGAAAAAGTTAGCAAAAAGAATAATTACGAAAGTGATATTTTTGTTTCGTTTGTTATAGTAACTCATTCAGCTACGTGTTTTTCTAAAACAACATCTATGTTCAGTAATAAAATAAATGCAAATTTCCTAAATTTTATACCGTGGTAGTGCGTATTCAAATTATTACGTACCCAACCCCCACCTGGTTGTACTTTGGCTCAATAGCGAAGGGAACCTGATTTTTTTGTCGATATGACAAAAATACATTCATAGTGCAGGATAAAATGGCACGGGACAAAATAGCGTAGACAAAACATCGCAAGACAAAATAGCGCAAGAAGGGTTAAGTGGTAGAACATGCTTTGTAAATGATCAAACATTTACAAAGGATGAACTTCGCCCATTATTTCTATATTTTGCTTTATTATAAAATATTTATATTTTGTGTTGTATTTTTATAGAAATAATAAAGACATTATTATTATAAAATAGCACAATACAAAATAGTGCAAGAACAAAATAGCGCAAGGAAAAAATAACACAGAACAAAATAGCGCAAGGACAAAACGCACAATCACACAAAATATTTTTTTAATTAATGTAATTCTTTGAAATAACCCGTAACAAATACTGTTCCGACGACGCCTATGCAGTGAATGGTTGAAGTGTCACTCACATTTTAGAATACAATCTGTTTTAGCACGAGACAATTCCGCGTGGGACAAATTTACTGCGACAAATTTGCGCCGAGACAAATACATGAGTTAGCGCCTGATATAAATAAAGTAAGACAAATTAATGTCTGGTCAAGTTATAATGAGTCAAATTAGCAAAAACTTAATTTAGTAAACATGTGCAGTCTGAAGCCATCGCGGGTTGCAGCTTAGATAAATTAGTTACGATTTTTTTTAATTTTAATTCGAATTTTGTCCCTGTGTTATTTTGTGCTGCGCTATTTTGTTCTTGCGCTATTTTGTCACGGAGCCACATTTATATACCTCTTTTTGATAAAAAATTGAGAAAATCGTAACCTCTCGTTTTGACACTCCCTATATACAACATAACAAATGAATAAATTCAATTAAAATTGACGATGTGAAAACAAATAGGTATAACTACCTGCAGGGTGTTTTGCTTTAAAAAAGTATAGGTTTGGTCAGCACCTCGTTTATGGTATATTTAAGAATAATTGTTGAATATGGTTATACAACTTTTATATTAAATTTTTTTTCGTATTTCCAATAATAAAACAACTATCGGTCAATTACATACTGATGGGACACCCTGTATATGTGTTATTGGCTAACATGTTAGTATCGTTGGATAGGCAAATTTATAAGGAATTTTATGCTAAAATAATATACATTGTGTTATATTTGAAATAATTTAGTAAATTAAACTTAAAATTAGCCATATTTAAGACATATTTCAAAACACTCTATATAAAATATTCCAGTTCTATCACCACTATTCACTATCTTACAGGTCTGTATTTTAAACAATTTTTATATCATTGTAAACCTACCTAAATTATGATAATTTAATTTGGGGTCTCTAATTTCATATAAAAATTAATTGCTTGGCAACCCAGTAATATTTAAAAAAAAAATTGTAAGGTTAAAGACAGTATTACCAAATCAATCTAAAATTTAAATAAAATACAGTGTTCAATTTAAAAAATTACATTTTTATTTGCTAGGCAAAAACGCAAAAATATTTTTAAAATACGTAATTTTTAAATGCATATACTTTATTTAAAACTTGTTTGCTTATCTATAACACAAATTGAAATATTGAACAATTACGCACTAATGGGCTACCCTGTATTTAATTAAAGTCAATTTTTCATCGCAACAAAGTCAGATTGACATACTTGATATACCTATAGCGAGATCAGTACAATACTCAAATAACATGATTTTTTTGGACTTATAGCGAAGTCAATTTTTCATATCAACAACATTTGACATTTTCCGAAAAATGTTTTCAGCAGTCACCGATTATATGGTTTTTTTAGCGAAATTTAAACAGTATCATGCCACACATTTTGCACTGTTCTTATACCGACGGGGTACAAATGTTGGTTAATAGTAAGTGGCTACCTAGCAATAAGAATTGTATGACATAAATGTTCTAGGAATTATTTAAACTTGTAATGAGTTGCTTAAAAATACGACAATACATGTAGTATTTATTAAGGAAGACAAGCGAAGAACAATCGGGTCTGGAAATGCACATTTTTTATTTTTCATTTTTAATATAGCAAAATTGCAATATTTTTGCTGGCATGAATCAGTATAATGCATAATGCTCCTATACTATAGTATTTACACGTTTTTTGTCTTAATTACAGAAATGTCAATACCCTCACTCATCTACTAAAGGCTTCACTAGGAACTGGAATTTTATCAATGCCTGCTGCCTTCTACAGTTCAGGCTTAGTTATGGGAATATTTTTGACCATTTTAGTTTCTGTTATATGCACCCACTGTGCCTACGTCTTAGTAAGTCTATTGTATACTTATATTTGCAATATTTAACAAATTTTTAACCAATAATGATTCATTTTACTACTTTTAGTAATTATTTTATTGATATTTAGGTTACCAGTGCCCATGAACTGTACAAAAAATCAAGAAAAACACAAATGGGATTTGCCGATGTTGCACAAGAAGCCTGCAAAAGAGGTCCACCGTTCGCTAGGAAATTTGCTCCATTCGCAAAGTAATTGAATTTAAACTGTTATTTTATGCTTTGTTAAGAGTGCCATAAGAATTGCAATGGCCGTGTTCCCGTTGTAAAACGTGTTTTAGGAATCATAGAACATAGAATGCGTGTCATTATCAGTTCAGAGTGTGTTTAGGAACCTCGCACGGCTCGTTTGACCATATACATTAGAATTAATAGGGTCCAGACGTGCCGTGCGTGGTTTCTAAACGCACTCCAGCTGACTGTGAATGCTCGGTTTGTTTACACTTTGTTTTCTTGATCTCAAACTTGATTTGATTTACTTGATAATTAACTTACTAACGTTTAGGTACATAACAAATATTTATTTCTTTTAATCAAATCGAAACAGAATTCTAAAAATAGAACTTCCAGAGGTTCAAGGTTAACTTTATGATTTAGAAGCTTAAAAATATACTCTATTTGCGCTTTTATGATTATCCAACACATACTTTGATTACTATACGGGGCAAGAGAGAGGTCCGACACGCCCAACATAGGGCGCGGCCATTTTGAACCCTATGACACAGTTTATAGCTAAAGAATCAGATCGCTCACTCTGCGTCGGTACTTTTTATCTCAATGTTCCAGTTTTATACACTGCGCAACTCAGATAATACAATATATGACAACCGCCTATAATAAAACAGCAGTCTTCTGCGTATCCTGAATTTGTATCCCTGGAGTGGATGTTATTTTGGAACTTTCAACTGGTGAGCTAACTGATTCTTTAGCAATAAACTGTGACTCCAAAAATAATATTCACTGACACTGACAGCAGCAAGCAAAATATCAGGTGCGTTTTAATCATCCGCTTCTGCTTCCGGAATTGTCGGTTCAGTCGTTCTAACCTGTCAGATTAAAACAAGAAAACCGACAATTCCGAAACAGAAGCGGATGATTAAAACGCACCTATTAAAAATATTGCGCCAAGATGTAGGCAACACGTAATAAGGGTTCAAAATGGCGCCTTTTAAAAGGCACTCAGAAAGCTGCGCAGTGCGACCATTCTCCGTATAGTAAAAGAAAATCAAAGTATGTGTTATCCAAGCACTGAAGCGGTTGACAGTTTATCGTCACCGATTACACATCATTACAACACGCTTGACAATGGTGAACACGATTCCTATTGCCATGGTAACATTTTTTTGGTTGGAATTAAATTATTACCAACTTTTTTTTAACGTTAATCTGTTCTTTAGAGTATTACCAACCAAATATTTCTATTTTCAGACAATTTATACAAATAGGAATATTCGTGACGTACTTTATGACCTGCAGTTGCTACACGGTCATCATGGCTAAGAATTTCAATTACGTCATCGATCACTATTTGGGATACGAGGTGGAAATAAGGATAACCATAGCGGTCATGTTACTGCCGCTCATTCTACTGGCATACGTTCCAAACTTGAAATATTTGGCGCCGTTTTCCATGGTCGCTAATGGATTTATGGCCGTCAGCTTGGGAATTACATTCTATTATTTGGTTGAGAAGATGCCCGCCGTGTCTGAGAGGCCAGCCGTAGCTCCCATCGCTACCATGCCGGTGTTTTTCAGCATCACCATATTTGCCATCGAAGCCATTGGAGTTGTAAGTACATTTTTGTCTATACGAAGAGTTCAATTACTCTTTTTGCCGTGGAATTCGATTAACTGTGGTGTGACACAACTTATAGATCTTTGGCTGATTGATCGATTGATGATGCTTTTTCTGCTTGATATTGTTCAATAAATTAAATCTATAATTATTGTACTTTATTTAACACACTTTATTGTATCACAAGAAAATATGACGGAACAATGTAATTAATTTATATCTTTTAATATTGTTTAATCTCAGAAAATATTGTAAATACTGTTTTTAAAACCCTTTCAAAAAGATATCTTGACTCACCCTCAAAGATTTAATAAAGGAATAAAAGTTTAATCTTAAAAAATAAAACAAGTGAGTGGCGAGCAGTACTAATAAAATGATTACTCGGTTGTTTCAGCTTCTACAATATTTGAATCTTGGTATTCGTATTGTTACACTGACTTTTGGTAAACTCAATTCATTTCAAAGTCAAACTTTTACATCTATTATCAATCTGAAACTCATTGGTTTATATAGCTCCCTTAATTTTCTCGAAATTTTCAGATGGTTCTTGACAAAGACCAGATATTTCTAGAATGTTCTCTCTTCTTATTCTATTCGTACTTCTTCTTTTATTCGTGCGTTTACCTATAAAAGCTGCAGGCTAACATTTCTCTCTCCTCTCTAATTATTTGTCCCGAATAACTTGATTACTGGGACCCTGGATAGGCTAACGGGGAAGATATGGACCATGGTGTATGGCGCTAACTTTTCAATGCATACTACCTTGGGTTTACTTCCCGCTGACAACGGAATGCAGTGGATCAGCATTGTGATTCTCATCTTTCAATACGGCACGTGTTGAGACGCCTATTTTCGTTCCACAAATTGCCATTCTTATGTAATGTCCAGTACTCTATTAGTTCCACTATATATGGCTCTATCTCTTGCCAAGTAGATCTAACTCCTTTGTTGAGCCATTCTCGGTCAACCTTCAAGTCATTGTCTCTCTTTTGAGTCTTTCGAGGGTGATTTCGTCACCCTACGGCTTGATAGTGATTGCCTGAAGACTAACTTCTTCAACCGGTTCCTCTCGTTCTTCAAGCCTTTTACAGTACAAGCATTGTCGTTCTAAACAGGGTCGCCTGGAAAGAATGTCTGCGTTGCTATGGAGACGTCCTCTTCGATTTCCTGATTATTGCTAGAAAGCCGGCTTTTCCGGGAGGCATATCTGCTGTAATTATTTCTTGTTGGACTTCGTGACGGGCTTCAGGAGGTTGATTTAGGTGAATTTTTGGCCTCATTCCCCGATTCTCGATTTATAGAACGATCTCTGCTTTTACAGGTTTTTTAAAGGTGTCCGATTTTTCCGCAATTGAAGCATCTTTTGCTCTCATTTTGGCTGTTTCGCGTTTTAGAACTTAGAATAATGTTCTTAAATTATTTATTTTTACTACTAAAAATGTTTTGTAATTTTAACATTTTTAAAACGAACTGTTTTTTTTTTTATTTAGATTATGCCATTGGAAAATAACATGGGAACCCCTCAGAAATTCGTCGGATTATGCGGTGTCCTCAATCAAGGAATGAGCGGAGTCACTTTGGTATATATATTGATAGGTTTCTTCGGGTATCTTCGATATGGAGAACACGTTGAAGGTTCTGTGACTCTCAATCTTCCGATAAGCGATTAGTAAGTATACATTTTCTATTATATTATATTTAGAATCACGTATTCATCGAATCTAACTCTCGTCAAACTTCTGATATGTCCAACATACCTACTGATAATTTTTTAAGCATCATTTGTCACCTGTCAGTGGTTTTCTAGCTGTCACCAATGAACTGGAGTGGGGTAGAATGCTTGTCAATAGGCTTGATATGCGACTCTATGGGCGAAGACAGGTTATTTTTCATCTCACTCGGGAGTATTTATAACAACCATTTCCTATTTCACTTTGTTATTGTCTGATCCACCAGCTTGTGGATTGAACAATAACAATGTGAAACAGAAAATGGTTAGTATAAATACTCCCGAGTGAGATGAGAAATAAAAATGGCTGCGCCCATAGAGTCACATCTTGTTCTATTGATACAATATGCACATTGGCTTTCTACCCCACTCCAGTTCATTGGCTGTCACGTGTATAGTATAGGCTGCTCAGTATATTTTAAATTAAGGGTGGGGATTAAATCTGTACGTAATTAGACATTCTTTTGTTTCAGTGCTGCGCAAGCTGTTAACATTTTAGTGGGCGGAGCAGTTTTTTGTACGTTTGGACTTCAATTCTACGTGTGCATAGACATAGCATGGAATGGCATTAAGGAGAGATACGCCAAGCAACAAAAAGCCGCCAATTACATCATGCGTACAATCATGACATTGGTCTGTGTCTTCATAGCGATAGCGGTTCCGACCATAGTACCGTTCGTGTCATTAATCGGTGCTTTTTGCTTTTCGATTTTGGGATTGATGGCACCTATAGCAATCGAAATGTTTACGTTCTGGGAAAAAGGATTCGGTAAATACAATTGGAAGATCGTCAAAAACCTAATCGTTGGTATTATAGCCTTTTTAGCTTTGATATTCGGTTCGAAAGCAGCCATTGAAGATATTATTGCTATGTATTCGAATTCTCCTAACGCTACTACCGAAGTTTTACCTATTTTTGGAGAAGAACCCAAGTTTAACGGTACCACGCCGGTAGCTATCTTAGCAAGAAGCATTCTCAATGGTACCACCTTTGGAGATATAGTGGAAACAACGTTAGCACCGCTAAATAGTACTATACTAAGTTAGATGATGCGTGGTAGCTTAATTTATTTAAACAAATAGATCGAATTTATTTCGAGATTGTGTACATTTTTGGTAAGTTATTTTTATGTCATATATTTTATAAACGGGACTTAAAATGTTTGATGAAACGGAATTTTAATACCGCTGGCGGATTTTAAAAACTTTCGTCTCATGACAGATGAAAATTTCAAAAATAGTTTATCCAATCACATTGAGTAAACTCGAAGCATTGTTAAAACTTACCACAAAATTATACCTTCTATTTTCAACAATCTTGTAAAATTGTCATCGAGAGACATGAACCCAAATCCTCAGTTATCTATACGTAACACATACTTAAATAGGTATACGGCGTAAAACCCTCTGCGCATCTTTACTGAGTGTTTAATAAAAGAAGATAGAAATGACCGCCATTTTTATATAAACAAACTGAAACTTATGCAACCAATTTATCTTTCCATCTGTCAAAAGTGTCAAATTTTAATGTGTTTGTGAATTTGGTTAAATTTTTTTGTGTTATTTTAGAATATTTTGATTGTGGATATTATTTTCTAAGTGTATAAACGTTTTATTTATTTTAACATTTGTGAATAGACTTTATAATCCCAGTATAAGTTCTCTATACTGGGCTTTATTCAAGATGTCTTGTAAGATCTTGCAAGAACATAAGAAGACTGTTGCCAATAGACTCAAATGTTACATTCCACAAGTAATAAGATTTAGCAAAAATAAAGGATATGAAAGCAGTGTCTTTATATTATTTTAGAGTTCCAAAACAAGCAGATCGTTCCTTATTGTGGTTATCTGCCATATAGAGATTGGACAAAATTCCTTTTAAGTTGTTAGTACAATTCACTGCAGAATCAATAAGAACGACCCATTCACTAAAAATTTGTAGCTTTTAGAAATTATACAAGAAGAAAGTAAATTGTTTAAAATAAAACAAATATGCAACCATCAATTTAATTTTAAAGTATCCTGGAAATTTTAATATTTTTAACTTCCTCTACTTTTGTCATTTAAAATTAGTATTTAGGTATTTAATCTATTATTTGTCGGCCTATTATTTATCAGCCTAACATGTATTTTTAAACATTAAAATATTTTTATTTGTTGTAGAATAAAAATTTAATTCAAATATAATATTGTATTATTTCTTTTAAAAAATCTGTACAAAATTATGTATTTAAAAGTGGAAAGAGCTAGACATCTGCAACCAAGTTTTCATATTGCTGTATTTCTGGTCACCTATGTACTAGTAATCTTGTATAAAAATGGCCGCCCCTATGTTAAACAGGTCGGACGTCTCTCTTGCTCCGTATACCTATTATAAGTATGTGATACGTAAAAGTAAACGCTGTCAATACTGCCAACGTCAACTGATGACAGTTGACGTACACATCAAATGGAAGAATTCTGTCAATTTTTGTTTACTATATACATTGCGTTCGGTCTGCCAAGTTCCTTTAACTCCTTTAACACTTTTAACTCCAAACGACCCTTTTACCGTTAGGTTTAGTCCGATTAGTGACAGTTTAACACGCTTAAATGTCATTTAAAAGCACCCTAAAATTTGTCCCGCTCCAGCCCCTGACTGACCGAACTCGCCTTTTATAGTTTTATTCGTAGAGTCAGTTTCTGGTCATTACCAAAGAAGTAGAGAGGGTAGAACGATAAGGTACCGTCTGCGCATCTATCACGAGTGTAGAAATTATGCGTGATTCAGCCTTCCACTCTTACTCACGTAAATAACAAGGAGAGGTTGCCCTAAAGCACTGTAAACAAATTCCAGGATTGACTTTATTCAGCGATAACTGTTCATGTTCAGCTCTCTTTTTGTTTGTGTTTTGGCAGTTGTAAGCTTTTTTGGCGTCATTTCTTTGTTATCTTGCTTATATTTGTGATTTTTCATGCTTTTATTCTGATTTAGTATTAAATTATACTTGTTAATTATTTTTCGATGCACTATTTTATAATTGTTGCACAAAATGTTGTTAAACCGTCCCTGAATCTTGTTTACAAAATGTGCAAAACGAAATTGTGCATAGTGTCCAGACTTTTTCATTGACAGTTATCATTCTACCCCTCTCCACTTCATTGGTCATTACCGAAAACCGATAATTTCGCATGCGCAATCAGTTTGTAGGGAGCTATGATAAGTAGAGATGAACCCAAACGATGGATAAAAATAAATTATGAATATTTCACGTTTAAAAAATTAAAATAGATGGCAAAGTTGTCGGCTCGATTTCAGGGAGCGCCAATTGCTTTTTGGTATTTAATAGTTTTTGTAATTTATTTTAATATCCGAATACGTGTTATGGATTCGTTGAAATTGAGAGACATCATTCTAAAATGATGTAGACTTCGTAATTCATAAATCGAAGACGCGTGAACTGAAGAAGTGAAAAAATCATAAACAAGATGGGTTGATTGTCGAATTAGTCCTTATATGTATAATAGTGTTCGGAATGTTCGGATATGCTTTGAGGACCATTTAATAACTAAAATTTGACAGAACTCGTTGAAAAACATTCCTATTTTACCACTTTTAACTGAAGGAATATTCCTTGACTAAGAGATCTTTCAAGAAATAAAACGAACGTCATAATATCCTCACTTTGTCTTCATCTCTACCACAATATAAAGAACTAGTATTGCGACTCAAATTATTCGCAAGGTCCGTCGCCATTTGCTCAGGAAGAATAAGCTATGTGATGCTTTCAATGGTAGTCTTCTACTAATGATGTTGTAACCAGACAGATATCAGTCAAGTTAATGTCAAGTGATTTTTCTTTTCACAGATTTTAATAAAATGTTTTGTAGATATAAAAAAAATATCTAACTCAAAATCTGTCATTACATCAAAAATGATCCTAGCAAAATGGCGTCGCATGACAAACGTGACCCGTGCAAATCAAAGGTTTGAGAGTCGCACTACTGATTGTTATTTATACTGTGTTTACTTTTTATTTCTTGAAAAAACTCTTATCTTGTTTTATATATTTTTATAAAAATGAGAGAATGTGTTAATGTCTCTTAAGGATAAATTCGAGCATCAAAAAACAGTGGTTTGAGCTGTTGGTAGCTCTTATCATTTGTATCAAATATTAGTATCATTTTATTTTAGAGATCAATTTTTGTTCGATCTCGATTTGTTAAATTTATTTGTTATTTACCTTTTCTTTTGTACAACTTTTTGGGGTATTTTGTTAGTAATTTAGCACAAGAAAAAAAATTTAATCGAGGAGAATATGGAAATTGTTTTGTTTGGAAGATTGATAAAATTTTAGTATTTTGACGTATAGGTATTTGTCGATGGATGACTGAAAAATATTCACCAGAGTAGATATGTAACTTGTTAAACATTTTTTCTGTGATTTTGTTAATAGTATAAGACCGATCCAAGTATTCTATTATTGTATGTCTAATCTAAAATTAATTTTACATTTTTTGGGTATTATTAAATTATAATTAATTTTAAACATATAGGGTTTGCAGGTTGCTATTGGGGTTCATTTATAATTTTCAATTCCCTTGTTATTTTGAAATTATAGGTAAAATTTAGTAAATTACGTAAATGTTTACTATTTGTTTGCAAAAAGCCGGGAAATAGTATTTATTTATTACTAGTAGTTATTGTATAATTTTAAAATGTAGTTTTTACAATTTGTATATGTAATAATTTTTTAATGTACCAAAATACACATTATAAAATAATTTGTTTTTGTTTTACCCATTTTCACGTTTTTTCTTAGATGATTCAAATTCTATTGAATATTTTTAGGTAAGTAACACACTATTTTAACAATAATTCACTTATGACGAGGTAGATTTTGTCTACATTATTTTACTTACATTAAAAACTTTAAAAAGATATTGAATTGATTTCTTCTCGTTTTTTCTTTAGTTTTACATTTGATTTTTATCCTGTTTTACAATCTGAAACGACGTAAATCTTGTTTGATGTTTTTTGTCACTCATGTTACTTGTACTCATCAAGTTTTTGAAAAATCACTTTATTTTACATTGACTTAAATAGAAAATAGACTGCGCTGTCATTAGACATGCCAACTACAGTCAATTTCGTGAACTAGGCATTCCAAACAAATGAATTGCCAGTGGGAAGGTTTGGTATATCTAAGGGTGGCGACATACGGTGTATTCTATCTACTTTACGTAAAATCATGAATAATGGATTACATTTAAATATTTTATGTCAAACACAATAAAAATATTTAAAAAACCTACCTTTTCTTCATTAATTGGCAGGCTTGGCGACTACTACTTCGAATAAAAATAGTTGCAAGACTATGTCGCTACCCCCTTAGATATACAAGAATTTCCCACTGGCACATATTTGTTTGAAACGCACATGGGCAGGGGGGCTATTTTCAAAGTATGGGAGCACTCATTTCTCTCAAGATTCTCATCAGAAATGTCATACGTCAATGTGGAAATGTTGTTTTTAAAGGCATCGAGGATTAAAATTCTTAGGAAGATTTTAATTCTCTCTAAATAAACCGAGAGAAACAGTCAGTGAGTTCACACTGGGCCTAAGAGCCCTAAAAATACGGTTTTACGTTGACGTATGACATTTCTCTTGAGAGAAATGAATTCTCTCGAGTTTGAAACTAGCCCCCCTGGAACTCTATGTCATGTAGAATTCTACTTATCGCTTTCTACAATGGAATCGATTACTTTCTTTTGTGATAAATACGTTATCAACCGCACGGGAAATATCGCAATGTGGTTTCTTATGAGACTAGTTATCCTGTAGTAAGTATATACTCGTTGGTTTTCCGCTATGTTACACAGAGTGCCACAAAAGAATCTATTGTAGAAAGCGATAAGTAGAATTCTACATGACACAGAGTTCCAGCCCTGATATTTTGCTTGCTGCTGTCAGTGTCAGTAAATATTATTTTTGGAGTCACAGTTTATTGCTAAATAATCAGTTAGCTCACTCGGACCAGTTGAAAGTTCCAGAATAACATCCACTTCAGGAATACAAATTCAGGATACGCAGAAGAGACTGCTGTTTTATTATAGGGACCGTGCGTCATGACTTTAACGCTAACTGGTGACAAAAATGTAAACTTTTTGGGGGGTATTTATTAATGTTTTATACGGCATTTATTGTTTAATAATTATTAATAAAATGAAGTCGAATTATTTTCGTAATATCAATATCGAAAAAACTTGTTGCATCCGTGGATGTACAAACACATCACTTTAGAAACCTGGATTTCATTCGATAGTAAAGAAATTTTATAAATTTCCACAGAACACAATTATGCCTCACACCCAATTATATACATAATTACGAAGATTGCTTATCCATATGTAAATCAGACGACGAAAAGCGTATTTCACTGGGCAAAGTTTTTTTTTTATCTAGCTTGTATCAATTTTGACCACTTAGTTGTAAAGAAATCATTTACAGAACCGGTTTAGAAATTAGAATCTTTAGTGTTTTCTTGTCATTAAGATTTTTACATATTTAAATTAACATTTTATATAAATATAATTTTACAGATAATGGTTTATTATGTTGATTAAAAGTAATGTAGAATGTTATGAAATAAAAATGTCCAATTTGACAAAAATATCACGGCCCTCTTTACAATTTATTAACTATTTCTCATTTATTATTAAAATAAACAAATCATAAATAATACATTGCAATTACTGTCAAAAGAGATTGTAACAAACTTTAAAATATTAAAAATCCAGTGATTTTTGGTAAATTTTTTTAGTGACATTACCATTAAACATTATTCAGAATAATAGATAAGTGTCCAATTACAACTCTTACCAAAGTTGTTTATACCTCATATCAAAATTGTTTACATTACCTTTTCAAAATTGTATTACATATTGCAATTATGTATTTTATGTAGAATTGTTTCTGAAATAGTTGTCTAAAATTATTTATATCCATCTGTTATAAAAATTGTTTAGATCTCTTAATATTATTTAACTATATGAAAACTCGACTTTCCAAATACATACTGACATGTCTTGAAGTAAAACTTTAATTATTATCTTTTTCTAAAGATTAAAATGCTGAAATTTTATTTTAACACATTTGGGCTAGAACGGCTCTATTTAGTGAGCACTAGGAAAGGCACATTGCAACCCGCTTTTCATAATTTTTTTATAGTTGGGTGAGCAATCTATAATATATGTATCATTGAACATCTCATAAACGCCAGTGGATGAATGACATTTCGATTAACATGAAGCTAAAAAGATTTATAATTATTATTATCAATCTTTTTTATTAATTTACATTTTTTAAACGATATTGTAATACTTTTAAATTCAGTGTTACTAAATACCGATATTTTAACATTGGATACACTTGTTTAAGGTACAACTTTACAATTTATTGTCACTTAGCCATTTAAATCTTTTTGCTTAAAATGTATATGCATGTCCAGATTTTAATGATGTTTCACATTTTACGTCATTTTGATCATGTACACGATTATTTGGTACGGGCCGGTATCTATTTTTAACTATATTTAATATTTAAAAAAATACCTTTCATTATTTACTTGCAATGTTTACCCCATTTAATTATAAAATTAAACACTAGAGAGGGCTAAGTTCGGCAGTAGTGCTGCCTCTATATTTCACGCACGGTCCCTATAGGCGGTTGTCATATATTGTATTATCCAAGTTGCGCAGTGTATAAACTGGAACATTGAGATCAAAAGTGCCGACGCAGAGTGAGCGATCTGATTCTTTACCTATAAACTGTGGCATAGGAGTCAAAATGGCCGCGCCCTATGTTGGGCGTGTCGGACCTCTCTCTTGCACCGTATATTAATCAAAGTATGTGTTTAAAGCCCATTGTGCATCATCTTAAGATGATAGGGACCACCTAGCTCGTAAACCAGCCTACATATTTAATATAAAATAGCAGAGGCAGAAGTTCGAAAGGCTTTTGCCAGTTCTCCCACTCGATACACATAAATTGGCAGGTTTACGGCGGATCTAAAACCGAAGTGAACGCGATAAATTGGCGTACAAAATTATTTGATAGATGTTAATAATTTCGAGTAATAGCATATTAAGTAACAAGAGTGGTAAGTAACCCATTACGCACGAAGTGAAAAAGTTAATTTCACGAGTGCGTAATGGGCTTACAACTCGTGTAATGTACTATACTTTTTCTACGACCACTTATTTTCTTCTATTAACGCCCGTATGCACCGTACACGTTTAATCCAGATCAAGGGTTTAATCGCGTTTAGTACCATAGCTAAATATGGTACTAATACAGTTATTTATTTGGCTTTCAACAGCGAATTGTGGAGCGCGAAAAGCAAATAAAAAAGGTGTTACTCCACCCCTTCACCAGTAGTTCACTAACGACGTCAAAAGTACTCG